CCCCAAAACCCCAAAACCCCAAAACCCCAAAACCCCGTAGATATTGGATAAGATTGAAATGATTCATGCATTCCATTACTCTCCGATTTGATACATCATTAGTTTAGAAGCAGGCATCTTTCCTAGTCCTGAGATCCTGACTGAAGAGAATTTTAGGTAAGTTTGATCAAAACATTTGATGTAGATCTCAGTCTTGTTCATCTTTCTGTGAAATTTGTAGTTGCCTTCAGTAGTGTCTGTGGATTCGAAATAATCAATAATTCTCTTCTCTGATGGATCAGATATATCTACGACAGTCAGGTCGTCGAATAATGCTTTCTTATCTGACTTCTTAACGTAAATCTCTGTAAATGGTTCAGTAGATGACCCAGTGAATGCATTAAAAATTCTAAGGTTCTCTTCAGCGGATTTTTCCTTAAAATTGAATTGGTTGAAATCGTCTTCTTTAAAGAAAAATGCTTTGGAGGTATCATCCTTATTTTGTACAATACTTTTTCTATTGAAATCCTCTGGATCTCCAAGAGCGATATCAGCAGCAAGTTCTCCCCCAAGAGTTCCTAAGGAGTTCCTTAGGTCTCTGTATGTATGTGTTGAATCAATATCAATGGACTTTTGGAGGACAATATTTCCTGCATCAAAAGTTCTCTTAGATAGATGGATTAGGCTGACCCCAGCTTTGTCATCCCCATTCAACAAAGTATACTGGATTGGTAAAGCTCCTCTGTATTTTGGGAGAAGAGAGGGATGCACACAATAAAAGAAGTTGTTAGGGAAATCCTCGTTTGTGGGCCTAATAAATTTATTAATCACATATCCAGGAACCATGTGTCTAAAGGAGGAAACTATAACAGTAAAATTTACTATGTACCTATTCCAAGGTTGTAGAAGGGCATTGATTTTGTGAACTGTCTCCATTCTGTTCTTTTGTCCCGACCTTGGAAGATATTTATTTCTAGTTCATTTTCCTCACAGAATTGATGAAATTTATAAATAGGGGTTCCTCTTCTTCCTTTTGGAGGGCTGAGAACATCAATTTTGTACTTGTTTTGGACATTTCTATTCAACATTGCACCGAGGGTGAGTCTGCTGAAAGTATCACTTCCCACAAACAGGAGTCTTTTGTTGTTTGGGCTAGTAGCCATTTCAATAAAATATGTAAAATATGGGGTTTTGGGGTTTTGGGGTTTTGGGGTTTTGGGG